GGTAACTAAGCTGGTATCTAGATCTACAATTTGATCTGCAAGAAAATAGAATTAACATAGAAATTCTTAAAAATTCTCTAAGTAGAATTTTTACCGTCACACCGCTGATAAATCTAAAAAGAAAAATAGATTTTGTATAAGTTTAATATAAAATACAATATATGAAATACACGCATTCGCATACTTATATAAATACAGTTCTATCATTCAATGCGCTCTACGCAATCTTTGAATTCCTTTGATATTATTTTGAAGAAACTATAATACACAGTTCAAGTAATAGAGTCTAAAATAAACACATAACAGTAGCAGTCCAGTAAAAACAATTCGCAATATCTTTTCCTAATGATAAGAATATAGTTAGCATAAACTTGAAAAGCAAAAAATTATTTAGCACTATAATATTGCTTATCTTTATAAATTCGTAGTATTTAACTTTCCGTTTGAAAATATAAAATTTATTATAATTCAAATTGGTAAATAAAATTTTCTAAACAATTTATTTTGCCTAAGTATGGAATTTTTAATAACTATCAAATAATAGCAACACTTGAATATTTTTTGTGAACATTCAAGAAAGTTTCACTTAATATTTTATAAATCATTTTTATGCAATTCTTAAAATTTATGGAAAATGTATAGTTTCAATGAGTCTTTGAGTATGCTAACTTGTTAATGGTGAACAATGAACTATTAGTAATAAAAATTCAGAGTCATGCTTTCATACAGTAAGGCTCTTATTTTTCATATAAGTAACTAATGCTTTTATTTATTATTAGAAACTTGTTCCCTTAGTCTAATTAAATAAAAAAGGTTGTCATTGTTGTCATTACAGTCAATGACTAAAATTATGCGAACAATTTTTTTTTACCAAAATTAGGCAGATTATCATATGATCACGAGATATAAACATTACATTTTTTTATTTATTTATATGATAAACATGAACATAAAATTTTTTAGCTATTTCGCTTTTAGTTAAAGTTTTATAAAATTATGAAGGCACTCACCCCAAAAACCCGTGGTACTATTATTTATGGTAAAATATGTGGACAATCAGGTCGCACTATTGCTAAAAATTTGGGGTGTAGTAAAACAGCTGTTTATAATACACTTAAATGCTTTCGTTAAACTGATTCTTCCACACCAAAAAAACAAACTGGCCGCCCACCACTCTTTAATACACCATCTCAACAAGAGCTTAAAGCTTATGTTCAAGAAAATGGTGAAAATTGTCAGCTTTGTGCAAAAAAACTTTCAACTGTTTGGACATCTCGTTTAAAAAACCCCATTTCTGCATTTACTATACGTTGTACCCTTAAAAAGTTAGACTTAGTACTCATATTCCTCATCACAAACCTGCAATAACAGAAGCACATTGTCAAATTCGTCTTGAATAGGCTCGCGCACATGAAAAATGAATAACAAGACAATGGAGAAAAGTGTTTTTTTCAGATGAGAGAACTTTTACACAATTTCAACAAGGACCTCAAGGAAAAGTATGGAGTTAACCAGGAGAAGAATTGAATCCTGATTGCATTTCAGTTACTGTAAAACACAGTCCAAGCAAAATGTTTTGGGGATGTTTTTCTTGGAATGGACTTAGACCAATTGTTCCTTTAAATGGTTTAGTTACTGGTAAAACACATGCTGAAACTATTCAAAAATATGTTATTCCTACTTTGCAGAAGTATTTTCCTCATGGTAATGGAATTTTCCAAGAAGATAATGCTGCACCGCATCATTCAAAAGTTGCTGCAGCTGCTTGCGAAAGTGCTGAAATTGTGATGCTTCCTTGGCCTGCCCAAAGTCTGGACTTAAACCCAATCAAAAATCTTTAGGCAGAAATAAAAATGATGGTTTGACGTCATACTCCCCCACCATCTAATATCCGAGAGCTTGAAAAATATGTTAAAAATGCTTGGAAAGATATTCCTGCAGAATATTACAAAAAATTAATTGATAGCATGCCGTGGAGAATCAATGCGGTTATTGTCGCAAATGGAAATAGAATTAAATATTAGTATCGAGATTTTTTTTGTAAAAATCAATAAATAAAAATAAAATAAATAAAATTTACCTTTTGTTTTATTTCCACTTTATTTTATTTATATAAATTTTTTGATTTAAAAATGTCCGCATAATTTTGGTCATTAATTGTAGAATAACATCTAAAAATTTTATACATATTATCAGCTATTTTTTAATTATAATATTTACTGTTGTATTAAGAAAAGAGTAACAATTATGTTATAATCAAACTATTTTACTTATTACTTCAGATGAGATTCATTAAAATAGTTTTATTTTATTTTAATTTAATATTAGAAATAGAAGTTGTAATTAAAGTGATTATTCTTTTTAATTTAAAGTATTAAAGTTTTAAAAATTTTAATATATTTTGTTTTAATTATTTAACTTTAATATTAGTTATAAAGTTTTCTTCAAAAAGAGTTAGATCAGCTAGTATTTCAAAAAGTAAATTTTTATGATAAAAACCTTTATTAGAAAATAATAATAAAAAATTTCTACCTAATATTATAACAATAATAAGTAATTTTAATTTTTAATCACAACTTTATGAATTTACAAAATATATTATTATCATTATAGGTATATTAAATAAATTATAAAAGAATATTGTTTACTTATATGAAATTATTCATTATTCTGGTTAGATTATTAATATTATTATAAATTATAATAACTTATTCTTTTCTAAATAAATGATAACATGATTTATAACTTATTAAACTCAATAATAATAACCTTTCCTTTTATTATCATTTGTTTTACATTCAAAATATTGTCTTTCAAATTTTTTTTCTAATATTGTAAATCTTTTTTATACATATTTTGAATAAAAATTGAATTATTATTATAAATATGATTTAAAATTATCAAAAAGTATTTTACATAATATTTATCTTATTAAAAAAAATATATCTTTTTGAAAATAATATATATAGTCAATTTAATAAAAATATAATTAATTTTTAGAAATTAACAAATGGTTTTACATTAGAACTTTCTCAAATAGCTTTGCATTTATTTGCATATTTATAAACTTAGTTTCAGTTAAACATTTTTTTAATTTTTAATTTTTTAAATTTTTAGCATAAAAAGTATTAATAATGAATCAATTATAAAGTAACCAAATAATGATGAAAAGAAACAAAATTCTTTTTTAATTGATATAAGTGATAATGAAAATAAAAAAATAAATACATCAACTGTTATTAAAAATAGCAATAATAATAATAATACTAGTGAGATTTTTAATATAAATAAATAGTTACATATAATAGAAAATTATATTAAAATATTACATATTGAATACCATTTAGATAATTTAGATAATAGTGAAAAAATTAATAAAAAATTACTTGAATTTGAATTAGGTGATTAAATTATATATTTAGCAGATTATTGATTAACAAAATAAAATTTATTGGATTTATTTAATAATTTGTTAAAGGCTTTAATTTATTTTAATTTTTTAATGAATTATTAAATAATTTTTTGGGATGAAATAAAAAGAATTAAACCTTCTATTATAATAAAGTTATTTTAATAAATAAAATAAATTTACAATTAATTTCTTAATTTTTATATTTATTATTAATAATTTATTAAGATTAAAATTAGTATTATTTATTATTTTTAAAAACTGGTTTAAGTTTAAATTAAAAATCATTATAAATAAAAAAAAAAATAATAAAAATTTGACAACCTGTTAAACTGGTTTTATTAAGTTAATTTTCAATAAAATATCATAATATAGGAAATTTACTAATCTATAAAATATATGAATATGAATAAAAATTCATAAAAATTTTTCTTAAAATTTAATTTTGTAAGTAAATTCAGAAATATTATTAATAATAATTTATTTGAATTTTTGATATATTTTGCTTTAACATCTAAAATATATTATAAAATAACTTAAGTTATAAGTCATTTAACTTTTAAAGTGATTTAATGGTTAGTAACAATCATCAAGTCATTTTGGATTATATCAGATTACTTACTATTATATATTATAATAGTATAAGTTACAAACGTAAATTATCTTAAAACACAATTTATTGTATTATATAACACATTTAGCATTTACCATTTATAAAAGTGAAAAATATTATCTTTACTATTAATAATATTTTAGTAGTTTATATTTTCTTCCTGTTATTTCTTAATTTTAGTATTTTTTTAATGATTTTTAATTTTAAATCATAAGACTGTATTTGACAAGATTGAAAAAATCAACCAATAAAAAAATAATCCAGTTTATATATATCATGTAAGCTTATTTATTATTATTGGAATTTAACTAAAACTTATAAATATTGTTAAAACTATCTATCTTCATTATTTTTAAATATATTCATACTTTTAAGTTATTTTATGATTAAAAGTTATTTCAGTTTAATAATTATCTATTATCTTAAAACTATATGAATAATTCATTATATTAATAATTAAGATTACTATATATAATCTAGAGTTTAGATAAGTATCTAAATGGTAAAAATAAAATTTGAATAAATTATATTAAAACCTTATTAAAAAATCTGCAAAATTTTGAAAAAAAGAAAACTATATTAAAGTTTATATAAATAGTAAAACTTTATCATACAATTAGTAAAATATGAAACTAAATATTTAGATGTTTAGCCAATCAAAAATGAGTTTAGACAAGCAACTTTAATAATATTGAATTTTCTCATAACAAAGGTATAATCAGTATAGATAATTATTTTGATATATTAAGTTGTCTAATTTTAAATGCAATTTTATTATAATAAATAATAATATAGTTATATCTAAACTATACATAAAGTTGAAATGAAAACCAAAAGTTGAAATATTTCAACTTTGAAGGTTAAAGTCAAAATAAAAAGTTAAAATAGTCAAAATAACGTCATATCACATGATTTTTTATATATAGAAAAAACAAAAAAAATAAAAGATGTATGATCTCAATCAATATCACTTTATTTCGTATATAACAACTACCATTTGATTTCTCAGACTAGATGAATTCAATGAGCTAAAATTTATTGATTTTGGATCAGTCCATCTCAAGATATTTGCGATCAATTTTTGAAATCTGGTCTCCTTTATTTAAAGTAAAATTTATTCATTTATAAGTTCGGCCAATAATACGATTGCGATTATCTTGAGATTGAATGATCTGAAATCAATGTATATTAGCTTATTGGATCCGTCTAGCAGCAAGGAATTAAATGGTAGTTATTTCATACGAATTAGAGTAATATTGAATAAGGTCATATATCTTTTGTTTATTTTATTTTTATATATATAAAAAATCATGTGATATGACGTTATTTCAACCATTTCGACCATTTTGGATATCTGAAATGATATATCTCTACTCCATGTATAATCCAAACTATTAGAAGTATTGATATCAGCTTAAACACTTTTTTGAGAAAATGTTTTTTATTAAAAGTATTTATTTTTATATGAATAAATATAAAATTATTATTCTTTTAAATATATTTCTAATTATAACTGGTGATTTACATCACCAAATTATATAATATTATAATAAAATATTATTATACTTTATTGTAAACTAACCTTAATTTACCTAACATTAATGTTATATTACAAGTTAAGGATGACATTTTTAACAAATACTGTATTCATTCAAAATAAGCAACATATTTTTGTTATAATATTGCTTAGTTTCAATTAATTCAAAATAAAGAAGAGTATATAGCTTTAAAGTCTTAGTTAAATACTTTAAATACCATTGATTATAATACACTTTCAGTTATAATTTTCCAATAATTATTTAATAAGAAGAAATATTTTTACACCTGAATTTACAGTAAATTTTCTGATATCAATATAATTAATCAATATAATATCACGTAAAGTTAATAAATAATATAAATAATATAAATTATAAACAGATTAAAGGATTATAAAGATTAAGTTTTTACTTGTTTAATTATACTTTTTATTAATATTATAGTTCTTTACCCAAAGATATAATAAGAATTAATCTTATCTAGTAAGATATTAAAGATATTAATATTACTTTTTCTTTAGATATATATTAATTAATAAAATAAACAAATTAAATATATTGAGAGAAATAAAATTAACATGTTATTAGGAAATAAAGTTGAAATAATTGATCAGCAAGATTATTATATCAATAAAGTTACTAGTTACACTGAAAATTAAATTGACTTTTGAATCTATATTGATTTATATTAATTATCAAGAAAAACTAAATTGATAAAGTAATCTATAAGATGATCTATAAGGAAATATAATTTTCATTAAGATCGTCAAAAATTTTTGAGAATAAATTTTTACCAATTACAATATATAGTTTTAATATTTAATATAGTAAATGAATAAGAAATTAATAAATATATTTTTTTAACTATAATTTTCTTTATATATTTAATACATTATTAATCATATAAAAATGCATAATTGCAGAATAATATTAAATGTATTTGCATTGCTATCTTGATATTATGTTTTATCATTTTTCCTTTTATTTAATTATATTTGTTTTTATTTACCTTTATTTTTAGAAGAAGTGGTTTTAATAAAAGAAATAATACTATTATTATTATTGAAAAAAATTAAAGATATATATAGAATTATTAGTAGATTATTTGATAGAATGGAAAAAGCATATTGTTATTGTGAAGAGATAAGTTAAATTATCATTATTAGATTTTAGATTAGAAGTAATATTTGATGAAATAAAAGCTTTGTTATTAGTGATAATATTAATGTTAAGTGATATTTTTAGTTTAAAAAAAATTTTCAGTTTATAGATTTGTTCATTTTAAATAACTGTTTTTCTTTTTATTGGAATTATTAAAAACTGGAAATATTTTCATTGGTATTATTATTGTTTTTTTTATATTTGTAATGGTTTGAAAACCTTTTCTAGCTAATAATTTATATTATATGATGTAGATTATCTGACCTAAAAATAAATCGTCATAGTTTACTGAAAAAGGTATTTAGTCTTAGAACCCTATTTTTTTGTCAAAAACTTCAAATTAATTTAATATAGAATTTTGATTTTTATTACAATACTCTTTTTTATCAAACATTATAACAAGTTTTTTTAAATGGTATTCTAACTATTTTTTTTTTAACTTTGTTAAAATCTTAATATAATGTATAATTCAATTTTTTAAACAGATGGTAAAGGCAAATCGAAAGAGAAGAATATAGTATATTTTATTTCATGACTTACAGACTGAGTCATCTTGATCCTGATAAAAAAATAAAAGAGAACTTATCTTAGTTTTAGAGGAAGAAATTTTAAAAAGATTTTTATTTTTTAATAAAATAAAGTTTTCTGTGAATTTTTTAGAAATGCCGATCTTTGAAATTGCCAGAGACTTTTATAGAAAAAGTGATTCTTTCCAAATGGAAAAAATGTATTTGAAATAAAAAATAATTATTACTATTCTTATTAATTTTTATTAATAATCTAAACCCTTAATATAATTTCCTAACTTGTTATATTAACCAACCGGAAAAAATAGAAAATTCCTGGTAATTTGTTGAATAATATAATTTTCTTTTCTTATTAATTTTTTGTAAAGATATATATATACGTATAGAAGTTATTTTTTTTTATTCAAACGACAGGAAAAAAAATCGTTACAATTATACGAAAGAAATTTATTGTCAATGCACAAAGATCTAATATATCATGTAAGTCTTTATTTATTGTCTTACTTAACTGCGCTTACCGGAATTTTTTTCCTTCAGAATTCCTGTAAACGCTAAGTTCCTGTTAACACTGAAAGTCATTCTATATAAAACCGAAAACTTATAAACTGTATAAGATCATATAATTTTAACATAAAACAACTAGATCATATTACAACCCTCTCATTAAAGTTTGCAGCACGAAATCGAACAGGCGGTTCGAAAGAATGCTCCTGCTGTATGAATTGATCATCTTTATATCGATATTTTTCAAGCTCTGCCCTTTTTTCTTCCTATTATTATATAATAAATATATTAATACGTTTAACTTAAAATTATGATAAAATCTATTAATTCATACCATCGAAACTTCATTATCTTTATAAACTAATAAGATCTTTAGCAATGGTTTTTGAGCTGTCGGAATAGAGGTTGATTGTGTTGCGTTATTTATATCAGTTTCATTTGTAGTCGCTTCACCAGCGGAAGGAGCTGTAGAAGAAGGAGCAATATGTTGATATTGAGTCATGACAGTATTTGCAACGTAAAGAGCATAAGATTACTGACCTGATGGAAGAATTCCAACATTTAGTTTTGGTGAGTAAATTTGAGATGTAGGTGCAATATTATTATTCGAATAGATCGCCGATGTTCCCGTTGTAGATGGTTGAATCTGCCCTCCATATGGAGGTTGGGTTATTCCATATGATGGTTGACTGACACTAGATAATGGAGGACGCCATTGTTCAGGAACTTGACTTGAAAAATGTGAAAATATGTTTAATATACAGGAATGACATCAAAGTAACTAATAAGTTTCTACTAACCTCGGTCGGTATGGAGAAATAGGTAAATATGTTTGAGCTAAATTAACACCAGGCCTTTGATAAAACTGACTGTACTGGTGAGGTATCAACGATGAAATATTTTGTTGTGCAGTATAACCAGAGTAAGGGAATGATTGACCCGCTGTTGGAACATTTTGCATCATTGCTTGATGCTGAGCAAGTTGTTTTTTAATTTCCTCACCAGAAAGTTCTAAAACCTCTTCGGTTTTAACCCTCTTTAGTGGTGGATGGTTAGTTTCAAACGCTTTCATATCGGCTTGGGGAATTCCTACCATGCCGAATATCTCTATATCCATGGATTCCCGTCCTTTTACTGCATTTGGAACCCTAAAAGTCAATTTTTAATGGATTATACAAATAATAGAGCAATTTAGGTTTCAAATAAAATTTCTTCTAAGCTTAAATAAAAATAAAAATAAATCAACAACAACACTATGAACTAGCCTTAAATTAATTTTTTTTATTTTATAACGAGCTTAGAAATTGAGAACAAAATTAAAAAACATTTTTAAATATTGATCTATTTAAATAATTTATCCTTACGTGTCAATTTTTTCTTTGTGAACCTGGTCTACATGAACAGCCATTCCACCCGCCGTGTTTAATTTTTTACTACAATGAGGACATTTAAAATGCTTTGCTTTTTGATGTAGGATTAAAACTTTTTCATCATCAAAATCTCTTTCACAATACCTATTAAATAAGTAATGTTTACTTGGCAGTAATAAACTTGTTTCCTTTAAATTTAATCGAACTTACCAGCACCATGGACGAGTAACGTTCTTGTTTTTCTTTTTTCCCATTTTATTTAAACTATGTTTGATATTTCTACAATATAAAGTTCGATATATTTAGGTTTTGTCGTAATATTAACAATTTGGGAGGAAAGAAAAAAAATTTTTTTTTTGAAAGAAAAGGGCAGCTTTATATCGTTTATCGTATGATCTATGATCAGTAACTGTGGCTGTGCTTTTTTTTAGATTTTAATATAATTTATATTTAATGAGGAAATTTAAATAAAATATCTCCCGCTATAATAATAGAAATTATACATAATAATTATCAAATATATTGTAAAAGCTAAAATACTCGCAAATATGATTAATCAAAAAAATGATTACAACTACGATTAGGATTTCGCAACCATCGTAATTTTGTGAGTGATACCGAAGGACGAAAACGTCTAAAACTATCTTCTTTAATATTAACGAAAAATATCTTAATTTTCAATCCATTTCGTTTAGGATCCTTCAACCGATGGCAAATTTCTATAAATTTTATTTCGAATAGATGAAACGAATTGTTTTTATAACTTACCCCTTTAAAATGGGTGGTCCGTTTTAACCAAACGTCATTTTAGGATTAAAAGACATTTAACTATACATAACATAAAGTATAGTCCTATGACAATAATGCTGCCCAACGTATAGTCACGATAGGATTACAATATAGTCAAATATTTTTCTTCGTTGTACTGCACTGCATTATTATATTTTTCTTCGCTCAAATATATTAATTAAAGCAATTGATTTAACTTGAGCCAACAAGATATCAAATATATTTACGAATTAGTAACATACTTGTTTAATCATGATGAAAATCTACGTGAACATTATGAAGGCTTTGTGCCGTATATATAACGTAGACTTTCCTCAAATGTTGGTATTTCCATCACCATCAAGTAATAAACCCAATCATTAAATAACAGAATGTCGGAATGTAGTTATATAAATTAATGATGTTTTTTACAAAATAATTGATACGATCAAATCGATTACAAAATCAGTTGCAGAGTCATTTTGTACCTTATTCAAAGAATTTGGTGATTTTCTTGAGCCTTTTCAGTATGTTATCAAGCGATTCTGAATATTGTTGATATTTATAATTGTCTATTATCTTCAGAACCAATATCAGCATCATCTATTGACTTACAACACATTCTTCATGATTAACAACAGAAAGTTCATGATTCATCTCATCAATAATGATTCTGTAACATCAAAGAAATTGGGAACAAATGTTTTGAGAACATTCAATTTATATCCCTATCATTCGGTGTCACAGTTCCGTATCTTCAAATAAATTCTTCAAGACGTTTCCCTATTTAATATTTTGGAGCAATTTCTTATCATCATTCTTAAAATATACTTAAATTGATCTATATGGTAAGTATCCCAGCACGTTTCCATCCTTCATCTTTCTGCTTAATACAGGTACTGTTGAATTATTGTGTAATGTATTCGCATCCTTATCAAAATTAAAACTCTATTCATCCTCTCTAATACATGATTGGATTCACAAAGCCAGATTACAAGACTTCTCTTTGTTTATATTTTGTATAGTTTTTTTTTCGATGTATTCCAATATTCGATGATGTGCCTTATAAACATATCAAATTCATAATATATGATTAACAATTTTATAAATATAACAAAGGACTTATAAATAGAATAGAAATTATTTTTTGCTAACGCTCCTCTTTACATTTGAAGAACTTACTCTTTGAGAACTATTCCTATGTAAAATGTGATATCCATTTATCATTTAAACTCCTTAACGTACCAGAACAAGACAGGTATACAATGATAATAAATAAAATTAAACAAAATAGAAAGTTCACTATCTGATATCGGTAATTATCGATAAATGGAAATCCTTCTTGTTGCTGTGTTGTAATGCTTGAACTATTCAATGAAGTATTGCATTTTTTACCAAGTGTTTAAGATTTGCTGACTAATAATATTGATAAGTTTGAGGAATTCATTGTAATTGTAATATGCTTTTAACTTTTTTTCAAAGAAAATCAAAGGTTCGGATTTAACCGGAATTAACGATGTAGCACCATGTTAAAAATATTTGCACCTTCGAAGCATTTTTTTTTTAAAAAAAATATATATATATATACATATAACTTACCAAAGCTACTAATAAATCTTTTTTTAAAAAAAATTCCGGCCTCCAAATAAAAAAAAAATAACTTGAAAATCTTCCACTATAAAATGTATCTTTAAAAAAAAAAATCCAATTCCATAGTACCCCTTTAAATAGTTCTTTTCATCAAATTATTTTTTTTTATTTACGAAAATCAGGATAATCTTGTAAATTGCTCTCATATCTCATATATCACCAATCAGAAAGCAGTTAACTTTATTTGGTAAGACAATAATAAAGCAGATGAACTGTTGGGAAAACATTTAACCGAGGGCTAAGTAAAGGAGTCCTTTTTATTGGTAATTTTCTATGCAAGAAAAGAAATTAAAAGCTATAAAAACACATCGAAATAACCATCCGAAAAGCTAATAAAAAAAATGGTTTTAAAGAATAATTTAGAAAAATCCCTAAAAGACTTTGAAACAAGGATTAGGGAATTAGAGCAAAGTAACGAAGGGTTGCGTTCACAATTCAAATATTTAGAAGAAAAAATTAAAGAACGAGAAGAAGAATCAAAAGACAAGCAAGAAACTATTAATAATTTAGAAGAAAAGGTTAGAGAAGAAACCAAATCCAAGCAAAAAATTATTAATAATTATGAGGAGGAAAATTTTAGAATTCGAGAAGTATCCAAAGGAAAGCAAGATATTATTAATGAATTAGAAAATAGAATCAGTAAACTTGAATTAATTATTTATGATGACACTATCGATAGTTTTACGATTACAGATACTAATAAGGATGAAATCTTAAACACCATAGGAGGATTGCAGAGATTTCGAAAATTAACAAAGCTCAATTGTAAACGTTCCCAAATAACCAGCTTACCAACCTTACCAAACTCCTTATCGAACCTTTGTTGCTGTGATACTCCAATTACCAGCTTACCAAATTTACCCGACTCCTTATCAGAACTCGATTGTTCACGTACTAAAATCACCAGCCTACCAACTTTATCAAACCCCTTAACAAATCTCTTTTGCTATGATACTCAAATTACCAGCTTACCAGATTTACCCGATTCCTTAATGGTACTCAGTTGTTTCAAGACTGAAATAAACATCTTACCAACTTTACCACCCTCCTTAACGAATCTCTTTTGCTATGAAACTCAAATTACCGGCTTACCAACTTTACCTGATTCCTTAACGGTACTCAGTTGTTTCAAGACCGAAATAAATAGCTTACCAATTTTACCCAACTTTTTAACGAATCTCTATTGTTATGACACTCGAATTGCCAGCTTACCAACTTTACCCAACTCCTTAACGGAACTAAATTGTTCTTTAACTCAAATAAAAAACCTACCAACTTTACCCAACTCTTTAACTTATCTTAACTGTTCCTATACTCAAATAACACGCTTACCAACTTTACCCAATTCCTTAACGAAGCTCTGTTGCCATGGTACTCAGATTACTAGCTTACCAAATTTACCGGATTCCTTAAAGTTTATCAACCCCGAATATTTAAAAAAATAATATTCAAACAACTATCCTATCAACTTTTATTTTTCGTCTTAAATAATCAATTTGATTTTCATGGCTAATTTTATTAAAAATAAAAATGAATAAGAACAAAAGATGTCATAAAAAATGTAGTAACATTATTGATACTGAATTCATCTGATTAATTTAACTAAGTTTGTCGATTATGTCTCGACATCAAGAATAATTTATTTCACAACCAACTTTCACAAGATATTTGCGATTTAATCATTGTAATAAAATAATCAAATTAAAACAAATAAAATAAAAATCGATCATCTCATACATTGCAGCAAAATAGAGTGTCGTAAATGAAAAGATTATTTGACTATCAAAGGGAAAAATTTTATCTTGGGTGCTATGATTTCTCATGACATCGCTTAAAACTCAAAAAAATCTCTCTCAGATACTTTGTCTGAAATAATTTTAAAAAAGAAAATGCATTTACACGTGGTATTTTAAACTCATTTGCGTATAGATTGTTGAAATAAGCGTTTAGTATTTGTTCGGTTCATAAAATTTTCATGATGGTCTTTGCATAAAGATTAATGGTATAATGGTTCGAAGCAGATTTGTACCTTTCCTTACTTATAGTTTAAGATAATGTAAAATATAATAGTGTTGCTACTATGATCATGAATTTATTTATTATATTGTTTATATTTAATTTCATTAATATATTTACTATCATAATTATTCCTTAAATAGTTATATTACTAGTAAAATTAATAATTAAAGTTAATATTCAAAAAAAAATTTCTTTTTTTTGTTAATAAGCCGCACTTCTTTATTGGTCCCATGTAGGAATTAACCATAAGCTTAGTGTAAAGATTTATTATCTTTGTCAACAATAGCTGTCCAGATTTCTTCTTAATAACCCTTATTTGAATGGAATGTGGATGAAAAATAATATTTAGGCCATGTTTTAAAAGCTTTCTGTCATTAAATAAGTACTTCACAAAAAAATTACTGGAAGAGTGTAGAAGAAGCAAATAATTAATTAAATATTTTGCTAATTTTGCATGATTAAATTTTTATTTAAAGTAGTAGAAGAAAATATAAATCAGAAGTTAACACTGCTTTATAACAAGTATAAATACGAAAATTGATTTAAATATAAATTAAGAAATAATTAGAAAATTTTGCATACTATTCGAATTATCTCTTTTATTTCTTCGTGATAATTGTACTGATTCAAAATATCTTTAACTTCTTCGCTTAATTTAAATTAAAAAATTGAAATACAAAATAATATAAAAATGAATAAAAAATTTTAATTAGATCATTTTATCGAAGTTGATTTTTTCACTAGTAGAAATTAAAAACCTAATTTGCCGCTTATTCTTCAAAATTCCGTTTGGAAGTCCTGCATAACTTCTGTTCACTTTTAATTTTTAAAGTCAACCATTAGACTAATCTCTTTATTATAAGGATTTATTGCTTTTTTTACAAAAGATTGTGATAAAATTTTATATCGTAAAAAGGGCATTTCTAGAGAAAAATGAAAGTACAATTATTCCACCGGTGTATACTTCAAACACAATGAGATGAGCATGATATTGATAATAATAATATGATAAACTATCTCCTCAATAGCACCCTATTTTATTCTCGTTAGCTCTGTAATACGCAAATACGTCACCTTTGCCGGCGATAGTAATCGGTAAATCTCAGACTCTTCCGATGTTAACAAAGTTTCGTATGACAGGGCGGATCTAGAGTCGGTGGCGAACTTGCCACTTGCCTCCGCTTTGCGTAATATCGTTTTTGCATACGGCAATTTACGCAGAAAAAAATCTTTCCAAAAACTTATTTTTTCTTACAAATAAATGACTTTATTATAAAAAAAAATCCGTAATAATAATAGTATAGATAATAAAGAATAAAAGTTATGTATCAAATCTTTAGTTGGTTAGAAAATTTTTGAGTTTTAGGCATTTGAATATTGACAATTTCCTTAAATTTGGAATTTACCATTTGATATAAATGTTATCCAATGAAATGTGCGATGATAGATATTTTTTATTTTTTTTTTACTTTAAATTTTAAATTTTTCTAAGCATGCCCCGACTTAACAAAAGAAAAACCATATTGAAAGATGTAAATCAAAATAAATTAGGAAATTTGTTAGGATTTGAATAAGTTTATAAATAATTATAACGCATCTATAAAACTATTTAGTTTATAAATCAATAAATCTAAAAAATCAATAATATTTAATCTCATAAAATTTAATCTTTGCTCATTAACAATTTATTCTTCTTTAGATCTATATCAATAAAGATGATCTGATCCTTTAATTTAATTATCTTCTTTCAAGCTTAATATAAACTACTTATTAGCAAATACAAACTATTAAATAATGAATTATACAAAATTCTAGATGAGTTGAGCCAAATTTTAAGTCAAATAAGTTAAGTACTGTTGAGTCAAATAAATCAAATACTTTGACTCATTTAACTTGAGTTAAATTTTAAGTTAAGCTTGATTTGATTTAAGATAAATCAAGCTAAACTTAAGCCTAAGTCTAGTAAATCTAAAACCCAAAATTGAGTTTAAAGTCAAGCAAAACTCAAGTAAAATTTAAAAGAAAGTATCAATAAAACTATAATATATCATTCTAAATGAATGATCTTTTATCATTCTATCAGAATAATATATTTTATTTTATTATTCCTTTAGAATAATATATTATTAATCCTTTAGAATAATCTTTTATTATTTTATCAGAAAAATTTTTTATCATTTCTTAAAATAATGTTTAATCATTATATTAGAATGAAATATTTATACACCTTTATAACTTGATTCAACTCAATTTTTTTGATTTAAGTTGAGTTTGATAATAACTTACTCAATTTGACTTATTTGAATCTCTAAGTATAATATCTCACTTATTATTGGTTATACTGTAATTAATAAAAACTTTAACTGGTTAGCCATTTGACACTTATAATAAATAATAATAATATTTTAAATTATTGTAATTTATTTTAATGCCTAGATATAATATCCAATAAATTACTAATTTTGAATTATAAATATTAAATTTATTTTTAATTTTTTAATAAATTAAATAGTAACTAGAAACTTTAATAAAAAATATAATATAAATATTCAAAATAAATGATAAGTAAAAGAAATTATAATACTTAATATTTATTAAAATTAAAAGATTATTAGAAATAATAATAATTAATATTTATTAAAATTAAAAGATTATTAGAAATAATAATAATTAATATTTATTAAAATTAAAAAATTATTAGAAATATAAACTGTAAAGTTCAAATTTATTATTAGTATATTTTTTAATATAAAAATAAATAATTTATAATATATATTTATAAAATTATTTAAAATATTTGTATGGATTTATAAAAATTCTAAAAAAAAATTATTATAATAATTAAAATATAATTAATATAATTTATATTAATTTATATTAAAATTAATAAATATGTTAAATTTTTTTTAATTAAATCTAAAATCCATTTTTATATACAATCAATTCTTTATACTCCTTAAAAATAAAAGTATAGAAATAGTGAAAAATGATTATATAGAGGATTTTTTTACAATATTATTAAATTAGTTTTAAAGGAATATAAATATAAAAACAATATAATTATAAAAGAGGTTTTTATATAATATTAATAGTAGAGTTCCTCAAAATCAAATCAAATCAAATATTAAGCAATTTGGATTTGATTTAATTTTTTCAAATTGAATTGAATTGAATCGAATTGAACTCAAATATTTGATCAAATCAATTTAAATCAATTTGAATTTGATCGAATTGAATCAAATTGAATCAAATA